GGTTATAACTTCTTCCAATAAATTGGGCCAGTATTTACTGAAATCCTACTACATGACACCAGTATCCTTGCTGTTCCTAAAACAAGATACTTTATCTAGTGACTCCAGGCATGATTATTTTCCTCAAGCCTGGAATGGTCTCCCTTCTCATCTCTGCCTCCTGGCTCCCTTCAAGTTCCAACTCAAATCCCACCTTCTGCAGGCAGCTTTTCCAATTTAACTTATTGCTAGTGACTTCCCTCTCTTGATCCCCACCCCCAATTTACCCTGTATATATGTTGTTTTTACATAATTGCTTGCATATCTTTCCTCTACTAGACTGTGAGTTTCTTGAGGGCAGAGACTGTCTTTTGCCTTTCTTTGTATCCCCAGAACTTAGCACAGCCTAGCACATAGTGGGTGCTTAATAAATGTTTATTGACTGAGCATACTGGTATGGTGGAAGATATACTCAAAGCACAGGACACAGCCCTTTTCCTCAAAGAATGTAAAATGGTGGGGTGGAAGGAAAAATTGAAAAAAAAATCTATACTACTCCTCATTTGGTATCCATTTCACATATATATATATATATATATATATACACACACACACACACACACACACACACACACACACACACACACATATGAATCATCACATTTTGCGGGTGACTCAAAGATGTCAAGAATGCCTAATGGATAATCTCTGATGGTAAGGATTCAGAAAGTTCTCTCTATAGTCTACACTAGAGCATTTGTGCTGAATCCATTTGGATGAAATTCAGTAGAGATAAATGTAAAATCTTACACTTAGGTTCAAAAAAATCAACTTTAGAGGTGTGCCATTGGGCAAGCATAGTCATCTGAAGCATAGTTATCTGAAGAAAACTGGGGACTTAGGTAGAGCACAAGTTTAGAATGTGTCAACAATGTGGTGACTATAAAAACCAACCTAGGCCACATTATGATAGGCATGGCTGTTAGGAACAAGGAGGTAATAAATAGTCCCACCATATCTAGCCCTGTCAGACCTCATGTGATTAGTTCCAGATGACACAGTATAAGAAGGAAATTGAGAAACACTGAAGAGTGTTCAGAGTACGGGGCCCAGATGGTGAAGAGCCTTGAGTTCATGCTACATGAAGACAGGTTAAAGGAACTGGGAAATGCTTGACCTGTAGAAGAGGACACTCACAGAGGATATAATAGGCATCTTTAAATACAAAAAGGACCATCATACGGAAAAGCTGTTTGATTGATTCTGTCCAGAACTAGAAAGTAGAACCAGAAGCAACGTTTGGAGAAGTTCCCTTAGTCTGACCAAAAGTGACACAATTCATGGCCATGGTAGCTCCTGAAGACTCTCTACTGAGGAGGTCATGGAGGTCTTATATTCTGCTTATGAGGAAGGACTATGTCCATGGAGGAAATCCCAGATCCTGAAATATCTAAAGACCAAAATAAATGGTTCTGACTTTCAGTGCTATTGAGGAGTAAAGAAACTAAAGTAGATGGGCCCCTTTCGCCCTCATTGGAGCTGGATGCCAAGTTGTTTAGAACTTATGTTTTTATGGATGTTTTACAGTTTGCAAAGTATTTTGCTTACATATTATCATTTGTTCCATAATGCATGCACACATGGTAATCTCCTTGAGGGCACGAACAATTTTTGCAGGGTTTGCCTTTCTTTATATCCCCAGAACTTATCACATAGCCTTGTACATTATAAGCACTTAATAAATGCTTGTTGATCTACCGGTTGATAACTCTGGGAGAGAGATCACCAAGTCCTATCCCAGTCCCATTTGTCATTCAATCATTGAGCTTTTCTCTGGTTGTATCAAGCCCACTCTGAGAGAGTCTGGATGCATGTGTGTTTTCATTTATTTTGTTTTTTGAGTTATGTTCACTCATGGAAAATTTTATATGCCCATTTAGAAATACAAGTTTTCTTTTCCTACCTTTTATAAAATAGGCAGAGTATTTGTGGAAACACCATAAGCATTAATGTATTCAATCTGACTTCTAGGTGGGTCTTCTTTGTCATAGTCCCTCACCCCAAAAGTACAGAGTGGGAGTAGGAATCTTAATCCAGTATAATCCTGTCTTCTTTTTATCCCTCACATATAAGCATCGGCCTTTCTTGGAGCCAGGGCTAGAACTTGACAGAGCTCTCCTCCCAAACATGGAATGCCCTCTCTCCTCTCTGCCTAGCCAGTTCTTCAAGGCTGAGCTTGGAAGTCTGAAGCTTTCCCTGGGCACTCTAGTGTCCACTAATCTTTCCTCTATGGGATTTCTGAAGCAGAGGATATTTTAATAACAGAATTGGGAGGGGGCAGTTCACCAGATGCCAGAAGAAGTGATGGGAAAATCAGCTAGACTAGAACATGCAATGGCACTTGCAAGAATGAATGCTGGTCTAGGATTCATGTCCTTGGAGCTGTTGGACAGCTCCATAGAAGATTCAACACTCTTCTGGGGTAGCTGGATTGCAATTGTTTTTGCTTTGCACATGCAGAAATAGAGGCATTGAATAATCCAATCTCTACAGTGCTTACTTGTGGGGCCAAAATGAGAGACACACACTTTAATAACTGCACAAAGGCTAACATCTTACCTCTCAAGGAAATTTGCTCCCTTAGATATCAAGGACTGTTTCATTCTCTGACTCTACAGTACCTGGCACTTGGTGAGTGAATGCAAAATACTTGTTGATTAGTTCAGAATACATGTGAAATAAGAGGCAGTGTGGAAAAATGCAGAAGATTGAGAAAGGAATTTTTTAAATGACTGGTTCTTAATTGTAAGATACTCCATAACACCTTATTCCTCAAAAGCTTTCTTGAGTAAAAATTGTTTCTTTCTTTGTAATTGTATCTTCAGTAACTAGAATGTAATAGGTGCTTAAGAAATGCTTACTGTTTAATTAGAATATTTGAGACCCATGCCATAGAATCCCCATCCCACAAAGAGGGGAAAGGATTAAACAGAATAACACTGGCATAGCTATAGAGATAGAACAGAAAAAAGGATGAAAGGAAATAAAATACTTTAGATTCTTCTCAGAAGCTGCCTGTCTAATAAGGAGTATTCTCAGATATTGTGATTTGGGGGCAGGGTGGAGGGGGAACTACCTCATCTTCTCTTTCTGTATCTGTTAGTGTTATTTTAAACTGCAGTCTCTAATCCAGCCCAAGATACTTTCCAAAATTAGTGAATTTCCAAATTAAGGGGAAGAAATGTGATTTGGAAAGGAAGGTCGGAGAGGATGGAAGGAAGAGACATAAGCAAAGCCGAATTCCAGGAACAAGTCACAGCTCACAGCCATGCACAGAAGCACTAAAGTAGGCTGAGGCTCTCCAGAGCAAAATGATTTTTTAAAAGCTCATCATCAATACTAGATTGAAGATCGGGTTTCCACCTCACCAAGGAACCTGCAGCAATTCTCAAAGTAAATCCTAATCACACAGGAATTTGAGTGCATTTTTTTTAAACTTAGTACTAAGGCAGGCAAATGATTTGGCTTCAGAGAAATGTTTACCTATGTGTTTAAAGCTTATACAAATACAAACCAAGCATTGTGCTTCTGGCAGAAAGGACTCAGTTCCAAACACATACACACACAGAAGTTAATCCAAAATCAGGGCGTTTATTTAAAAGAAGGGAGGTAGAGTTTTCTTAAAACACAAGCACTAAAAGAGTCACCATCACAGAGATCCAAACAGCTGGCGGCTAATCAATTTGAACAAACAGGGCTACAGTTTTACGAGTCTGTAAATAAAAGGACTAGGGGTTGGAAGAGCAGGGAAAGGGGGATTGGGGATGCTAAGAGGAGGAGAGTAGAACCACGAACCAAGAATTGACAGGGGAATACAGGAAAACAGCACTGATGATATGGACATCCGCAGGGCACTCAAAGGTTTCTTTTACACACACACACACACACACACACACACACACACACCCTGGGGCTAATCCGCCCCAGCAGTCCATTGCGGGTCTACCCCTGCAATGAAATGCTAACCTAGCACTTGGCAAAACCTAGAGACTTTTTCTTAATGGGAGGAGGAGAACGGGGATAATCCTAAACCATATCAAAGTCAGTGAAACACCCTATGTACCGAAAGCCCAAGCAGAAGATGATGATGATAATAACAAAAACAACAATAATAACAATAATCCGAAGAAAACAGGTTGTGAGAAGACAGGTTGTTTACGTTTTGTCTCTAATCTTACGAAAATGGTGCACGTTTAAATCCACGATATTTCAGGTGCTTCCTCCTTAGTTCTCTCTCCCAGGGGCAAAGGTAGAAGATTGGGTGGGAGGTGCCTCCTGCCTATCGGAGTTTCAACTCTTTGGGCAGCACATTAGAATGATGGAGGGGAGTGGGGAGGAGGTGGAAGTGAAATACCGGGACTTATCCTCGCAGGGTAAGACCCCACCCGCAATACAATTTAAAAGCCTTGAAGTTAGCCTTTATAACCAGAGAGACACTTGCAAGGAACACAGCCGCTAGCCAGGAAGAGGAAGGCAGCGGCTCCGGGAAAGGAAGTGACAGCCCCTGTCCCGCAACTGCACCCGGGAGACCCCCGGACACCCGCAGCCGCGGCGTAACTCGCGTCCCTCGAAAGCCGCAGCGGCGTGATGGAGGCAGGAGAGAGCCGGACACAGGAGCAGCCTTGCTCCCCCTCGGCCAGGGCCCCTCCTTCCCTCCCCCCGCCCCAGTGGAGTGAACCTTCTCTGCAGGGCAATCCCCGTCCCCCGGGCCCCCGAGCACGCATTCCCACTTCGTTAGCTTTTCTCCTCGCTTTAAAGGGTCGCTTCTCTTCCATGTCCCTAACTGAAGCCTGGACCACCAGCTACCCCACGTCCCCACAGTCTGTGAACCCTTCGCCTAAGCGTCTGCAGCACGGACCCTAGTAGCACCTAGCCTCGAGGCCTCCGAGAGGCTAGAGGAGAGGAGCGGGACCAGGCTCCTGGAGAAAGGCCCCCAGGGTGCGAGGGTCGCCTCTACTCACCCCAAGAAGCGAAGAGAGATGCACCAAAATGGAAGCCGGGCAGCAACTTGGTTCATCGATCCCTGGTGCCTCGGGCTTCCCTGGCACTGGCACAGACACGGACACGGACGCCGAGCAGGGGTCAACAAGTCCTTCCTTCTCCGGTGGCGCCGAGCGTCTGCACGTCCAGAGCTGGGGACACAGCTGTCAGCCAAGAGCGCACCGCACCCACCCTACAGCTCTTGGGTCCCCTCGGGGCCGCCGCGCTGGCTCCTTCCTCCCAGTGCCTGCGGGTGCCTGCCTTCACTGTCTCCGACTCCTCTGGTGGGCACCGCAGCGAGGACGGGTAGGGGTGGAACGAGCGAAGGGAGACCGCGGCAGCTCCCGGTGCCCCAGGGTTCGGAGGCGCAGTAACGCCCGCGGGGGCTTCCCGAGCTCCGGGGAATGCGGAGAGGAAAGGAAAGGAAAGGAAGGCGAAGAGGAGGAGCGGCGAGACGAGAAGTGCCCGCGGAGAAGGCGAGAGCTGGGCGCAGCCTTCCCCCACTGCCCCAGGGCGCGGGCGCCTTCTGGGCTGGATAGTTCCCGCAGCCGGCTAGGTCAGCGTGGGGCTTCGATGCCGCTGCCGCCCGCGGTGGTGCTGGAGCTAGTGCGGCCGCAGCTGCTGCTTTAGACGCTCAAGGAAAGGATGGGAACTCAGAGGAAGAAGGAGGCTGGCTGGCTGCTGCCGCCGCTGCTGCTGCCGCCGCTGCTGCCGCTGCCGCCGCTGCTGCCGCTGCCGCCGCTGCTGCCGCCGCCGCCGCTGCTACAGTAGCTCACGCTCCCCACAGCTGATCCCGGCCGCCCCTGCTGCTGCTGCTGACACCTGGCCGACACCCGCCGGCCAATCAGAGGAGCCCGGGGCGGGGGCGGGGAAGGAGGCGGGGGAAGTTTCGCGGGGCGGGCGGGAGGGCGCGCGCGCGCGCGCGCGCGCGCAGGCTCGCATTCTGACACAGAGACACCCGCACCTAGCGCGGGCCCTGCCGCTAGGCGCAAGCAGATGGACGCTCCGCTAAGCCCCTCCCTCACCGCACCACCCTTGACCCACCTTCGGTTCCCTCTGCCACTCTCCCTCCTCTCGGGGATCAGTGCACCCGCGGTGCGCTAGTTTGCGTGGGTCCTCCGAGCTCCAGTTGGCCTGGGGAGACCGGGGGAGGGGAAGATGCGGAGTGCCTCCTCTCTGCTGCTGCTGGGGCCTGGGGCTGGGAGTGGGCATGGAAGCCGGATGAGGTGGAGCGGGAAAAGGGCTGGGAGATGGAGAAGAGTTAATATTCAGGAGATACGATACAGTACTGATACTCCTATGGAAAAGGGGGAGCACCGATAAGCCTTCTGGCTTCACAGCCTGGCAAAGCCCCCCACCTCCCAGGACCACTGCAGTAGAGGGCTGAAGCGTGCGACCAAGGAGTGCAGTCAAGTGGTTAGGATTGCAGACAAGCCTCTGCAAGACCTGGGTTACCATCCCTGATGCACCAGCGCCTGGCTTCCCCGACCTTGGACAAATCATTTCGTTTAACCAACATTCCACGCTCCTTTCCCCATACACACAGTCATCCACGCAGTTTCGTGTAGAGTGGAGGTGCCCAGTTCTCCAGCGGGAGACCTGCCAGATGAAAGCGTTGGGCGAATATGTGGTTACCAAGTATCCCTGGGAACCTTCCCTGAAAGGCTTTTCTGTAGTTAATTGAAGGGTTGAAGGAAGGTCCTCCGAGTCTCACAAACTAAATCAGTCTTAACATTCAAGCTCACTTTCAGCAGAGCTGAAGTTAAATGTAGCAGAGTCAACAGGAAGAACCCACTGCTTTCAAACTGTCCTAATTCTTTTAAGTGTCCCATTACTGTCTAGATAGAGCTCAAAAATGAAACTCAAGAACTCAGGAAAACACCGTAACTCTATTCATTTCTACCAAATTAGTTATGCATTCAGCAAGCAAAACTATGCTGGGAGAGCACCTGTTTACCTACCTATGTGGAATAGTCAGTTTTCATTAAAATTGTTTTAAGTAGCTACCTCCCCTCAAACAATGCCATATCTTCCTGAGATATGACAACATATTTTAGAGAAGTGTTTCTCCAATTATGATTGCATTCACCAAGTAAAAAGTCCAGGTAAAAAAATACTTACATATTAATACATTTTTCCCAAAGAAGTAGATTCAGGAGGTGATCTCTAGGTAATTATTTTCAAGATTCTGGGTATTTGACTTCTTTGTTTTTGTAGATACAAATTCAAAATATTCACTGAGAGAAGAGTCCTAGGACTAGGTTCTACAGCTAGAAAGGATTTTAGAGTCTCATGAAGTAGGTGAGGTACTCTTTGAGAGTGAGGTTCAGTGCTTTGGAAATATACTTGGTTCTTTTGGAAGCTCTGATAAGTCTGTCAGGCCAGTGCAATGATGATATTCCTAGTATGCAGATTTATGCCCTGAAAGCAGCGGGTTCGATATTGCTTGTTAGTATGTAGAACGACAAATATCCAAATATCAAAGGAGAGAGAGAGAGAGAGAGAGAGAGAGAGAGAGAGAGAGAGAGAGAGAGAGAGAGAGAGAGGGAGGGAGGGAGAGAGAGGGAGAGAGAGAGAGAGAGAGAGAGAGAGAGAGAGAGAGAGAGGGAGGAGGGAGGGAGGGAGAGGGAGGGAGGAGGGAGGAGGGAGAGGGAGGAGGGAGGGAGGGAGAGAGGAGAGGGAGGAGGAGGGAGGGAGAGAGAGAGAGGGAGGGAGAGAGAGAGAGGGAGGGAGAGAGAGAGAGGAGGGAGGGAGGAGAGAGAGAGAGGGAGAGGGAGGGAGGGAGGGAGGGAGGGGAGGGAGGGAGGGAGGGAGGGGGAGGGAGGGAGGAGAGGGAGGAGAGAGAGAGAGAGAGAGAGAGAGAGAGAGAGAGAGAGAGAGAGAGAGAGAGAGAGAACATACTGCTGATCACTCTGTTCAAATGTATTGTAAGATCTTATGTCTAACAGAACAGATATTTTGAGAGGGAGGAAAATACTGGCAAGCATATACTTTGAAAGGCAATACGCTTATGCCAAGAAATGTCGCCAACAGACTTGGTATAGTATCTAAATCCAACCAATGAAACATTTCATCAAAACATCTGTTTCAGATCACCATGTTTTACCCTAGTAAGGGACCAAGTCAAAACATTTATTGAGTATATGCTATAGGCATTGTTGAGGATTAAAAAACAAATGGAAGATGGAGTCTTTAGTGGTCAGAGGCTTGAAATTCAATTAGCAGGCACACATGGAATTACAACTACAAGGAAACATATTACTTTGGTAAAAACCAATTATAAGGAAATATTACATTGGTACTTTAACGGATCAAGCACTTACTACCAATCCATAGTATCTCTACCAGTGTACTTATTAACCCTATCTACATCTCTTGTAATGCTAACTTTGTCAATGTCTTTCTGAATAGCTCCTATGGAAAGTCAAACAATGCTCTGGGGGTGGGGAAGCTTTCTCTGGTTGTTTTACATATTTCACAACCACTACTCCAGACACTCTGGTAAGGATTGGATGCAGGAAGACCTGAATTCAAATCATGCCTTACACACTGCTTAACTGGGTAATCAAATAAGTCACTTAACTTCTCTGTGCCTCAGTTTGCTCATCTGTAAAATGGCAATAATGATAGCAACTACATCACTAGGTTGTTGTAGGGATCAAATGAGTTAAATATAAAAAATGTAATGTAAGATAGTTTGCAAACATTAAAATGCTATATAAATGATAGTCATTTCATCATCATCATACTACATGCTCCTGATGCCTGCTTTCCTATAGAAGGCATTGCCAGTAACATGCTGCACACTACTTATACCCACCATTCAATTTTCTGTTGCCCTTTGGGCTATTTGTAATTCTGATATTTTGGATCCTGGTGTTCCATGATTCATAGCCACATAGGGTCACCAGGAGATGACAATGTTAAAAAGGATAGGTATTTGAAGCAAAGCACTTTGGGATCAATGAAAGTGCTACATAGTATCTATGTATCAGAAACAACATGAGGTCTGATCTCCTATTCAGATCTGGGCTCAGGTCATTGTACATCTGCAGCACCTACTCAAGATTTTCTCCCTTTTCCTTTCCTCTCACCTCTTCTTCTTATGTAGCACACCCTCTGAATTCATTTCTCCCCTCCACATACTGGCAGATTGGGGTCCACAGAGAGGATGCTTCTATGACTCTTAGAGTTCTAATGGCAACCTTATGAGTGGCTATCCTGTAGCTTGTGAGCCCCTACTCATGTGCTTCTCCCTAACAGTCAGCCAATAGACACAATTGATTATCAGAAAAAAACACTCAAAAGGCACAGCAAGAACAACATTTACAAAACATTTTCTTTTAAAACATGGGAGGAACCATCCCACAAAACTCACTCCTTGTACCCAGGAGTCAATGGAGAGAAGAGAGCACACAAACTTATAGCACAATGTAGTGAAGCTCATGTGTAGGAAACATACATGGCCAGAGCAACTTTTATCTCTGGCACATCTGGAGTACCAGAGCCTCATTTTCTTTTCTTTCTCTGAAAAAGAAAATAAATCTACTGTGGGAGTGAAGAACCAGTGTTAGTGATGGATGACTCACTCTACTACTAAGCTAAGCTGGGCTCTTCACCAAACATAAGCATCTCTGCTGGATAGGTGGCACAGCTGGGCTTGTACATTACAGGGCACAATGACTCAGCTGGGTCATTTCAGTGCTAAGCTAGGTCAAGTAGGTGGCTCAGCTGCAAGTGGCCTGGACTGGCCAGGTTACTCAGTCACTGGACCCAACTGCTACTAGACTGAACCACTGTTCAGACTTTCTGCCACTGGACAGCTACTCCTGGATTGGGTTGGCCAGGTTGCTGTACTGTGGGGCTTTCACAAAGATAAACATCTCTGTTAGATTTATCATCTGGACTCCTTGGGTTCATTTCACACGGTAGACAGCTATGGTCTTTACCACCTTCAGACCCTGGCTGTTGATGTGCTCTCTTCATCTGGAATGTTATGCCACTCTTTTTAGCTAGAGTGCCACTGTGCCCTTTCAGCAAAGATTAGCTGAGAGTTGGTAG